GGGAAGGCCCTTATAGGGTTCGAGGCATCGCTGGAAAAAGGACGCATGAGTTGGAAACAATGGATGAAACCATACTACCATCACATTGGAATGTTGTTCATTTGAAGAAGTATTAATTCTAGGCAAATGAAGTACCCACTGTCAGGTATCACTAAGATATAATTTTATTTCGTTCATTTGAATTTTACTAACAATTTTAGATGATAGGCAAAAATCTAGCCCGTACCAAACGATAATATTAGACCCTAAAGACACGCGGAATACTGAATTATTCCCGGTCTAGGTTACAATCTTTCTGATGGAAAAAAGGGGTTAAGAAGCCATCATCTAAACATATACCTCCGAGCCCCATATGTATTTTCCTTTCCAGGGAATGGACCAAAAGGAAGGAAAAATCCTGTGCTCGGGATTTCATACTTCAACGCTCTAACACTGCGGGGGACTATACATATAGGCGAAGAACCTAAGAGTCAAAACTCAAGCATAGGAGTCACAAATCAAGCCTGGATCAAAAACCTTGAATCAACCTTGAGAAGGTGTGAACTCGCAAGAAGGACTCAAGATACACTCCAAGTTCCTACGAGTTTTTAGGTTAAGGCCAAAAATTAGTCATGGGATAATAAACCCGATTTTTTATTAGTCCCGGGATGACAAACCCGATTTTGTATCTACAAACCTACTATAAAGAAAGCAGTTGTGAAAGTAATGTACGAGAAAATCATATATATAATTTATTTGAAAGTTCAAAGCATGAAACATCTTCAAATTATTTCCTTTTTCTGTTTCATATTTCATATATTTACGCCAGAATGAAGATGAGAAGTCATCTTCATCAGTGTCGCTTATATAAAAGGGCCCTCTTTTATAAAAGTTTGTGTTTATCAAAATCACAGATTATTAAATCATTTCTAAATGCATGTTCAAGTATCAAAGAGCAAAACAAAAAGCTCAGATATAATCGTGAAAGTAACCAAAACACATATATTAAACTTTGGGAAAAAATAGAAGTACTTGTTTGTCATTAAACCCCAAAACAAGATAGGGGTAACCAAACAACAACTTTCCAAAAAACAAAATAAACTTCCCAAAAGTTGAGTAAACATGAAAACATGATAAAACTAAGGGGCATCATCTGCGGGAGCATCATTAACGGTAGTAGAAGTGTCAGCTTGAGAAGAAGAGGCTTGGACATTAGCTTCACCAGGAACAAGTCCATTTCCATCACCTACGGGACCTTCATCTTTAGGTGAAGAAAAGCTTTGACGTTGCTGAGTTTTATCGTTTGCTTCTTGAGCTTTAACAATCTCAGCATTAAGGTCAAAACCTTCCTGGTTGGCTTCCATTGGAGTCTCAAGGCGAGTGTTTAAAAAAGCCCAGCTCACATCTAATGACAGTTTGTCCTCGAGAATCTCATAGTCCTTCTCCCGTTGATCAATTTCAGCTCTCAGCTCTTCTTTTTCTACTTCAAAGGCATCATAAGCTGTCTTCAAAGGAGTAAGAGAACTTCCCAAGAACATAATCTTATCAGACGAGGCATGGAGATCTTCTTGAGCTTGAGTAAGTGTTTGAACTAATTCTCCCGCATACACCTCTTTTTGATTAAGGAGTTCCCTTAAACTCCTTATCTCTTCAGTCGCCTTGGAAAGTTGTTCGGTAAAGGAGGACTCAAGTATGTCCTTGTCTTTTCCAACTTGGCTTGATTCAGCACCAACCATCCTCATTTGTTCCTCTAAGGCATTCTTTTCTTCCGTCAGAACCTCTTTCTCTAGTTGAAGACCATCGAATTGACCTTTCCAATTATCAGTTTCGGTACGAAAGTCAACCGCTTCCTGCTCCGCTTGAGAAATCCTTTTCATAAGTTCAGTGCCAATCAAGTTGATCTACAAAAAAAACAAAAAGTTTCATGAATAAGAAAAAGAAAAGGAAAATGAGTATAATTAAGACTGTACCTTCAAAGAAGAACGAACTATATCACTCATCCAAGTCAGGGAACTATGGCTTTCCAATTTCTTCTTCTCTACGGGTCGAATCAAAGGCTTTAACCACATATCAGCTTGACCCAATTTCTTTATTAAACTCCTACCTTCAGGGACTTCCACAATATTTCTTTTCATCGTCAACCCGCTGTTGGAGGTTCCAATTTCTACATGAGAAGCAGCAACGGGAATAGCAGATGAGATGGACGCAGCTACGGGAGGAGCAGTAGGGGGAGCAACATGTAAAGACACGGGATGAGTAATGGGAACCGAAGCTGGAAGAGTAGCAAGGGGCGGTTCTTTAGAAACAGGCCCGGGAGCTTCAATACCCTCAAAGCCATTAGCAAACAAGCTATCAACACAACTTGGGGGAGGGTTAACAGCATCATCATCAGAAACCGTTAAAGGGACATTCTCTAGCTCATCCAAAAGTCTAAAGGGGACTAAGCTCGATGGAGGGTCATGAGAAGGAGTGTGTTCATCATCGAAAATTACGCATCTCCTAACTCGAGGTGTTCGCACTAAATAACCCTCTTCTGTCTCTTCTTCACCCTCAAAGCCACGGGCTCCATCCGTTTTTCTTTTAGAATAAGAAGCACATAAAATTCTTTCCTGAGCAAGACTCACAGAAAGTCTGGCAGAAGGAACAGACGCGGGACTAAAACCACGAATGGGAACCCCTAGTAAAAAGGAGAAAGATGTGAAATCTGAATAAACAAGAGAGAGAAAGAAAGAAATAATAAAGGAGAAAATTACTATGCGTCTTTACTTTCCAGCTAAATATTTGGGAAAGGTATTTCCAGGACCTCTTCTCCATAGGCGCAGCAATCAACATATTTTCTACCCAAGCACGGAAGTTGGTAATTTCATCAAAAATTTCTATGGATGCTGAAAGGTTTGGTATTTCGTTATAATAAAGTCTTTTGAGCTATTACGAAAACAAAAAAGAAAAACTTACGTGCAAAATTCCATTTCTCTATGTTTTCTTCACCCACTAGCCCACTAGTGGGAGCAGCGACAAACCGAGAGAAAAGACACCTTCGCGAAATAGCTCAGGCGAGTATAAGTGAAGCAAGTGCCGAAAAGTAAGAGGCACGGAAACTAGTTCTGCCAAATAACGAAGGCATGCAACAGCCCTCCAAACTATGGGACCAATTTGGCCAAGACATACGTTGAAATAACGAAAAAACTCAAGGATTACCGGATCAATAGGGGGTTTGAACTCTAGTGTGAAAGAGTAGGTATAGACGAAAGAGAAACCATCATGGTAAGAAGTAATCCTCTGGTTGGCACCAGGAACTAAAATTGGGAAGTCAAGTTTCCAGTAACATTCTCTTCGAACAAGAGAAAAAAGACCAGTAGTAATCAAACTAGGGTAAAGGTCAGCACGATCAAGGGAAGGTATGGAAGAAACTTGACTCCTTATAGATTCACGATCAGTTACAAAGGAAAACTCTTGAGGAACAATTTCTGCAACTGTGTGCTGGCGTATAGTTTCAGTTGAATCTCTATTTCTTAAAGAAGATCTAGGGGTTATAAGAGCCCTAGGTCTAGAGGAAAACGGATTAATAGCACCACTTTGAGAAGAGGAACCACGGTTAGATATAGAACCAAGACTACGCAGCCTACCACCCCTTCTACTTCTAGTGGGAGCATTAGAAGAAACAAACTCGTCAACAATTACAACTTTACGGGGATCAAGGGAAGACACGATTGTCCAAACAAGAACAGGGAAAAAAGAAAAAGAGTGTACAACAAGAAGACGAAGGTGAATATGAATGAAGAAAGGCTTCAAGAAATCAAAAAATAGTGGAGTATTTATAAGAAGACACGACAATTAAGGTCATTATGAAGCGTCATAATAGAATCGTCACTTCGTGACTGATGCGGCTGCAGAAAATCCCTAAAAAGCGCTGAGGAACTGCAGAACCAATCTGTTTAGCCACGTGGCATGATCATTAAATGGACGTGATATGCGTCGCATCAGTTCAGAAGGAGGTATGATTGTATTCGAAAAACGGCGGCAGAGAATTCCCGCCATAAAAACTTTTCACTTCCCCGAATAGTCAGTAGAGAATATTCAGAAAAGTGGGGGGACTATCTGTATTGGTGGTGAAATGGCGTTACACGTGGAATATAGAAATGCTGACATGGCATGACACGTACATGGCATGACACGTGGAACAGTGATATGCGACAAGTGGCATTCTCAATTGATAGAATTAATTGAGAAGAGAAGGCACGGGGAGAAACACCCACGAGACGGTACGAAAAAGAGAACCAAGCCTAACAGTTGACAAAGAATAGACGAGGACAGAATGAATAAAGAACAAAAAGAAGGAAAGGTACATGAATCGGAAGTAAATAAGAAAGGGGAATCGAAATAGTTATGTGGTATTTATAGCAATAAATATGCCATTTATAGATATCCGAGATAATGGGCAATGAATATCACTAATGCCCATAATAAACTCAAAGAAGAACCGTTACTATTGTACATTCTTATAAAAGGGCACAAAATTTTATTTGTAGGGACAGATCTGAAGCACTATTGAAATATACTCTTTACTTTTCTGCCTTCTTGCAATTCTCTATTTTACAATTTGTCCGTCAATTAGTTCCTTTACTATTCTTATTATTTTCCTTAAGTATCATTGTAAAAGTAAAGTAAAACTTGATTATCAGCAACTCGTTTTCTTCTAAATTGAGATATTAATCAAGAAACATATTTTTGGTTAAACACTAACGCTAAGGCACCCAACGGGCTGCCTTAGCGTATAATTTCCAAGTTCAGAAATATATAACAGTATGGTTTGCTTTAGTTTGTTCCTCTGTTACGAATACTGTCATTGACAGAAGAGTTTCAATCGTGCAACTCACATCTCCAGACGGAAGAGGAAATATCGTGTGAAATTCCAATTGAACAACAAACTGCAGAGAAATCTCTAATTCATGAGAATCGCATGTAATAACAGATAAAGGGGCTGAAATATAGGTATATATGCCCACTCATTTGCACATAATTCTACACACACACACACAGAATTTAACTTACATTTCTTCAATAGTAGTCCATACACCAATAGATATGGCTCGGTTTCTTGTATTTCTTGCTTTAGCCCTTGTAGTTACAGCTCTCTCAAACGACGCGTTGGGTGCTCCTCCTTCCTGTCAAACTGTTACAACGCAGCTGGCTCCTTGTCTATCGTACATTCAACGTAGTGCAAAGGGCGGTGATAATCCATCAGTACCTTGCTGTACTGGTATAGATAACATATATCAACTTGCTAAAACCAAGGAAGACCGAGTCGCTATCTGCAACTGCTTAAAAACCGCATTTATTCATGCTGGAAATGTCAATCCCACTCTCGTTGCTGAACTCCCCAAGAAATGTGGCATTTCTTTTAATATGCCTCCTATTGATAAAAACTACGACTGTAATACGTAAGTTTATATTACCTCTCAAATTAAATTTCCAGCCAATTTGGTGCAGACTGCTTGTTTCATCTGCTTAATCTAACTTATTACTACTATTTTTATTACATGCAGGATTTCTATGTACTGATGATGAAGGGGTAGCTATTGATCTCGGCAGCTGCTCAAACACTGACAAATTTATGAATAAAACATATATAGACGTTGTGTCTGAAATCTGAAAGCTATTAGATCCACTGTAAACTTCAAATGTATGCAGATGGTTAAATGTTGAATATGATATATATAAATTTGGTTAATGCCTCTAGTATTCTTAGACCAGAGTTCACCGATGGAGACTAATATCAGATTACAGGTGTTGACTTTTGCATATATCAGTGGACGGTTCGTATGAGCTTTAATTAATTAAAGTCGAAAACAAAAATTATCATTATATGGAAAATATTGGAAGTTCTTTAACAAAAAAGCACTAGAAAATAAATTTCATGAAAAATATTTTCCGGAAAAATAATCTCTCATACCAAACACATCTCATGAATGTCGACTTATGAGTTATGAGACTGTATTATTATAAAAAAAAAAAAGCATATGGATATTTGGGTTAAGGACGACAAAATGGGTTAATAAATCATCTTTTAGCATCATGTTGTCGCCATCCAAAACTGCTTGTCTAATTTTAAGGACAGATGTGACTATAATCTAAAATTAATAACTCTATGGATTAATTACATTGTTGGGGCAGAGTGACATACTGGCAAAGAGCGAGTAAATTTTCTCGTGACAGATTATTCATCATCTCTTGCTTCTCCCATGTTCGATCACCCTGCTGTGCCAACTGTTTAATGTTTTCTTTATTGATTAATTTTTTTGTCTTGATTCCACCTCAAAGGATGATAAATTTAATATGCTATCTTGATTTTCAGAGGCTTTACTAATTTTTCCAAAGAAGAATTTAGTTTAGGCGCATAGCATCATTATAACTTCTGTTAAAAAAGTTCCGCGTAGAAAGCTCTATTACAAAAAAGAAGAAGAAATGCAAAAACATGTACTCAATAAAATAATTTGCTTGTGCTAAATCTATTCTTTTTATTTCCTGATTTGTCTTATCTTTTATAACCGCGTGTAGCGCAAATTTATTCTGATTTGTCTTATCTTTTATAACCGCGTATAATGCCGTTTTATTCTGATTTGTCTTAAGGAGATAAAAGTGATTTCACTAGTTAAGGAGATAAAAGTGATGTCCTAATTTTTAGGAGAGATTTTTGAGATGAAATTGTGACATTCTCGGACATTAAAGAGATGCCAAATTCTTTTAAGTATCTACTAATCTATATCTATATATTATTAAAAGGAGAGGAAAAAGCCCTCTCCTTAAGCCAAGTGGCAACCTAAAAAAATGTCACTTGGCATAATTAGTTATTTAGTTTATAATTAGTTATTGGTTATTATTTTTGAATTTAAATATATAAAAAACGAAAATAATAAAATAAAATAAAAAACTACCATATATATATATATATAATATATATATATATATATGTATATATATATATATATGTATATGTATGTATGTATGTATGTATGTATTAATTGGTTACTTTATTTGGATTAATAAATATAGATATCTTATAATTAAATATAAAAAAACAAAAAAAAAATATATAAAAAAATAACTACCCATTCAAATTGGGTGGGAGTAGTTTCAAGTTGGAGTTTATAAATTATCTTAAAATAAAAAAGCAAAAAAAAAATTAGCTATGAGAAAAACGAAAGAAAGAGAAGAAAAACTACCCATTCAAATCGGGATGTAGTTTCAAGTTGGAATTTTAAACTTTTAAAATAAAAAATGAAATTAAAAAAATAATAAATTAACAATTCAAATTGTGGATTAGTTTCAAGTTGGAGTTTTAAAATTATTTTAAAATAAATAAAACGAAAATAAAGACATAAAAAACTTTCAGAGAAAAATATTTAATAAAGTAATATGCTAATAAAACTTTCTATTAACAATGTAATAATATTAAATATTAGATGATATAATTAAAAAAATACATAACAAAAAAGTTATTCAATGCGCTCCCTGTATAAGTCCCGTTAGTTTAACAGAGATTTTGTTCATTAAAATTTAGATAATATTATTAAGAACAATAGAATAAAATTTAAAATAAAAAAAATATTTCAATAGTAATAAATTATAAATCTTCTCATATATGACAAAAAGAAAGCGAATATTAAATATTGGCTAATATAATAAAAATATATAGAACAAAAAAGTTATTCACTAACTATATAAGTACCTTTGATTTAATAGAGATTTCATTATTGGGTATATCGTATTGAAAAGTAAGATGACAATTGAATTTTATTAAAGCAATACAGTCTAATAGGATCAAACAACCCCTATCATAATTTAATTTAATTAATATTTTTTAATACTGACTGCGCATCGCGCGGGTACGACTACTAGTGTAAATAATACCTGCCTCATTTGATATATATATTTAATGATGGTAGGATTCTGTATATACTATTATTCAAAAATGTGATACTTATGAAAGTTTCCCTAAATGAAATCCATTCAATATTTTTTTCCTAATTCTTGGCATTTAATAAAGTTACCTTATAGTTTTAAATTCTGCTTAAAAATTGAATATATATGGAAACATCAAGCAAAAAATATACCGATTCCTAGCTAAATCGTAGGCCTTTTTAATCAAGCAAATTCAAGCCTATGGGTTTAATTTCCTATTACTACTAGGTTTCTGTAACATTGCTTAAACTTCACGGTTGAGGTACCTCTATAAATACTACCATTAACCTAAATCCTTTAATTCCTTTCTGCTTATGATCTTTGTTTCTTCTCTTTCAATGGCTTCCCTTACCAACAATTGTTTCTTCTTCTTTCTATTAGTGATCTCCTCTTTCTTTTTCGCTTCTTCCGCTTACGCATAGGAAGAAGCATCCCTTTTTAATTCCATTTACAGCTTCGGAGACAGTGATTTTGCTTCTACTTCTGATCATTTAGCTGCTATGCTTGGTCTGCCTTCTCTACAACATTACACCGACGAAGACGTCGAGTTTGATTCTGGTATTAGTTTCATGATGCCTGGAGCAGCAGTTATGAGTCCCTTTTCCTTCAGAAAGAATGGCATCCCACCGCCCCAGCAGTCTCATCACTCGCTGATTTCCTCCTTTATGAAACTCTTCTATAAGGATTGCTTCTCTTTTCATGACTGCGGCAGGAACAAGGTTCTTCAAAAAGTTATCATCTATATGGATCTGCCTGTTTTAATGATTACAAGCACTCTCTTTTGCATACAAAATCTATTTCTCAAGTGTCCAAGCTTGTCCCTAATGTTGTGGAGACAATCAAGAATTCTATCGAACAACTGATCAAAGATACAGAGGCCAAATACTTTGTCGTTTCTGGAATTATTGCAATGGATTGCCTTCCAGGTTTTCGAACAATGTTTCCCAAAACAACAATAGCAGGAAAATTAAATGTCACAAAGGAATAAATTTGTTTGCAACATTGCACAATGATCATCTATGGCAAGCGTTGGAGGAGTTGCGATTGAAGTACCCTAAAGTTGAGATCATATATGCAGATTATTACAAGGCGTTTATGGCGGTTCTACGCAATCATGTGCTCTTTGGATTCAAGACTAAGACGTTGATAAAGTTTGTTGCGGTAGTACTGGAAGCGGTCCGTTTAACTTTGATCCTCTGAGGCAGTGTGGAGAGGAAGGAGTTGCAGCATGTTCAGATAGGGCTTTGCATATACACTAGGATGGATATCGATTGACACCTGAGGCTTCGAAGAATATGATTGATACTCTCTTCAGCAAAAATGGTTTTCTATTTCCAGAATTCAAGTTCGCGCGAGATCATCATGCAGCTGCAGCAGAAAGGCACCGTTCCATGGTTTATGGACGATTTAGAGATGGCCTAAGGCATTTATTTGTAATGACCCGACTGGTTGTTTTGAGCAATTGCGCCCGGTTCAGCAGTTTGAGGTCTCGAGCAGCTTCACATTATGTATATCGACTTGTCTGCATGGTTGGATTCAGTTTCCGGATGAATCGGAGTTCAATTGGGAGAAGGAACCTAGATTTGGAAGTTTAAACAGTGAAAATTTGATAGGAATTGGACTTTTGAGTAAACAATCCCGGAATGGGTCGTGGGTGATCTCAACAGCTTCGTGTGGTGATTTTGGACTAAGGCGCTCGTTCAGATATGGATTTGGAGGCCCGTAGGGTAATTTGAGGCGTTTCGGCGGAAGTTGGAAAAGTTGAAGTTTGGAAAATAGAGAAGTTTGACCCATAGTTGACTTTTGTGATATCCGGGTCGGAATATGATTCTGAGAGTTGGAATAGATTCGTTATGTCGTTTTAGACTTGTCTGCAAAGTTTGGCGCCATTCGGGGTTGATTTGATAGGGTTCGGATGCTCGGTTGTGATTCTAGAAGTTCTTGAAGTTTAAGTTTGATTTTCATGCGTTTTGGCGTCCAATTTGTAGTTTTAGAAGTTATTTTGATGATTTGAGTGTGCGAGCAAGTTCGTGTTGTGTTTTTAGACTTGTGTGCATATTTGGTTTGGAGCCCCGAGGGGGTGAGTTCCGGATTGGTTCGGAATGATTTTTTTCATAGTTTCCGATTGCTGGTTTCTGGTATCTGTTGCCCTCTTTCGCGATCGCGTAGCTCCAGTCACGATCGCTAGAGTTCTGTTGGTTTTCCCGTTTTTCCTTCATCGCGTTCGCATAGAACGTCCCGCGATCGCGAAGGTCTGCTTTCTTCTTCTTCGCGTTCGCGTCTGTTCCCTCGCGTTCGCGTAGTAGAAAGTAGGAGCTGGGGGCGGTTTGCTATTTCCTCTTCGCGTTCGCATCAGTTTCCCCACGTTTCCTGCCCATTGTTCGTCGCGTTCGCATCCCTTTTCTCGCAATCGCGAAAGGTATTTCTTGACACCTTTAAATCTCTTATCCGCGATCGCGGCCCAATCTCCACAATCGCGATGCATAAATCCCTGGGCAGACAGAATATATCCCGAAATTCGGGTTACACCATTTTCATCATAACTTGACTTGTGGAGCTCGGTTATGAGCGATTCTTTGAGGGGTTTTCACACAAATCGATTGGGTAAGTGTTATTCACCTAGAGTTGATTATATTCCATGAATTCATCTTTATTTTTATCATTTAACTTGTGATTTGGGTTTAGAAAAATGTTGGTTTTTGAAGAAAATTCCAAAAATGAAAAATAGTGATTTGAGGGAGAAAATGGTATCGGAATTTGATAAATTTTGTATTTTGAACTAAT